AGGGAGGCAGGGAGGGAGGGGAATGGAGGGAAGAGGATGGATGGGGAGGGAAGAGGATGGATGGGGAGGGAAGGAAAAGATAAAGGAAAAAGAAATCTAAGTATATGCCCCCAAACCTTCAAAAACAGAAGTTAATACAAATGAGCAATTTAACTATCCCTACAGTCCCATGATACCACACAACCTTTGCAACTTTCAAGAAAAGAAGCAAATAGGCTGGACACTGGTAGCTCAAGTCTGTAATTCTAGCTACTCAGGTGGCTGAGATCTGAGGATCACAGTTCAAAGCCAGCCAGGCAGTAAAGTCTGTGAGACTTTCCTCCAATTGACCAGCAGAAAACTGGAAGTGGAGCTGTGGCTCAGTGGTAGAGCGCTAGCCTTGACTGAAAGAGCTGAGGGACAGTGCTCGGGCCCTTGAGTTCAAACCCCACAACAATTTTTTTTAAGAATTATAAGAAGAAAGTGAACTTCAGAATGCATAGGTTCTGGTTCCTCAACAATAAAGGGGAAAGTTAGCAATGAAATTATTAATGTGCAAGGGCTTCATAGAAGCTTATTGTATATTTTAACCTTTAGTTAAGATACTTTTTTCTTTCTTTTTTTTTTATTAGTCACAGAGCTTGAACTCAGGGCCTGGAAGCTGTCCCTGGACTTTTTTTTGCTCAAGGCTAGTGCTACCACTTTGAGCTCAGCCACTTCCAATTTTCTGGTGGTTAATCGGAGTCTCATAGACTTTCCTGCCCACCCAGTCCTCATATCTCAGCCTCCTTACTGTGTTACCAGGATTACAGGCATAAGTCACCAGCACCCTGCATTAAATTTCTATATAAGCATAATAAAAACTAGCAGTTACACTGATGCTGGTGGCTCACACTTGGGACACTGCAATCTGAGGATGGTGGTTCAAATCCACCCTGGGCAAGAGCCTCTGAGACTCTTATCTCCAGCTAACAGGCAAAAAGCTGGAAATGGAGCTATGACTCAAGTGGTAGAACATAGCTTTGAGCAAAAAAGCTAAGGAACAACACCCAGGTCCTGAGGTTAAGCCCCACTACTAACATGCATGCATGCACACGCACCTGCGCACGCGCGCACACACACACACCTATCAGATGTGAAGCAATACATGCCTAATGGCATTATGATACAAACGTGTAGTATCTTCTGCTCTCAGAAGAAACAATCATGAAATCCTCCGCAGTCAGGTGTAGTTTGTACGGCCCTCTGAAGGCAGAGGTAAGGAGATTCTGAGTTTGAGGGTAGCTTTGGCTGAATAATAAAGCTTCACAAGAACAAAAACCAGAAAAAAGTTTCTTGCAAACATGTAACTGAAGTTACTAAAGATTAAAAATGTTTCTACAAAGTCCAACAGGAAGACCCTGTAGAAATTCTAGACTGGATCCATTTAAATTAGTTGACTTTGAAACCAGGACATTCAAGAATCAAAAGCAAATCTTACCAAGGACACTAATGCCAACTCCTTTGTAGTCTAATAATTCTTTCTGTATCTCTAACAACACCTAAAAAAAGAAAAGAAAGAAGTTGGCTTCAATGCACTGTGCACAGGTTTCTCTTTAAACACTGCAGGTTGGCAAGGACTGGGGGAGGGAAGTCCCAAATACAGTCCCCACCCCAGCCAGCCCCTTCCCCTTCCCACAAAACTCCTTCCCCTTCACCAAGACAACCAACACAAAAGCTGAGCCTGAACTTAGACAACATAACTTAGACTTGTTCCAAAGGCGTGAATTTGCTGATTCCCTAGAAAATGTCTCCTCCACAAATCTCATTGTAAACTTGCTTAAAGCTAAAAGTACAGGATGCGTACACTTCCTAGTTCAGTGAACAACAAAAAACCAACAGGCTCCTGTTATACAGGAAAATCAACTTTCTGGTCTTTTTTGATCGAAAGTGCTAGATCTGAACAGGTGGAGAGAGGAGAAGGGAAAACCTGCTGAGTTAAAATGCATCCCAAGTCAGGGCTAGTGTGGCAAGCCAGTAATCCCAGCATGCGGGCAGATGAGACAGGAAGGTCACAGTATGAGACCAGCCTGGATTATACGAGGAAACACTGTCTCAAAAAATGTGTGAAAGATTAATAATGCCAGAGCCTGGGGCTCCATGTGCAGCTGAATAGTAGAGCATTTGCTCAGCTTGCAAGAAACTCTGGGCTTAATAACACTACTAAAGAAATTAAATTAAAAAAGGCTGGACACCAATGGCTCACACCTATAATCCTAGCTACTCAAGAGGCTAAGATCTGAGGTGCATGGTTCAAAGCCAGCCTGGACAGGAAAGTCCAGGAGACTCTTACCAGAAAACGGGAAGTGGAGCTGTGTCTTAAAGTGGTAGAGCACTAGCCTTGAGCAAAAAAGCTCAGAGACAGTGCCCAGGGCCAGCGTTCAAACTCATGACCAAAAAAGGGGGGGGGGGGGGGGAAGAAGAAAGGAAGGAGCAAAAGAATAAAAAGCAAGAAATCAAGAAAGATCCCAGGATGCTTAAATAACACTGGCATCATGTTGATAGAGTCTGACAGGTTCCCGAAGGCTCATTACATAACTCTTTCTACCTTTGTGAATTCAGAATTTCCACAATTAAAAAAAAAAAGAAAATCTCTAAGCCAAGAACATTTGGCTCAAGCCTCTAATCTTAGCTACTCAGGAGGCTGAGATCTAAGGATCAAGCTAGCCAAGGCAGGAAACTCCATAAGACTTTTATCTCCAAGAAAGAAAGAAGGAAAGAAAGAAAGAAAAAAAAGAAAGAAAGGAAGGAAGGAAGGAAGGAAGGAAGGAAGGAAGGAAGGGACTGCTTTGGAGACTGAGCTTAAAAACATGTCACTGTTAGTTGAACTGCTGGCTGATGTCAGCACTGGCTGATCTTCCGTGGTGCAGGTTGTGCAGGGTGAGCCGTATTGAGGAATCCCATAAATACATGCAAGTGTCACACACCAATCAAAAATGTAAAAAAAAAGAAAGCATTGGTGCACTGGTGATCTGTTCTTGTGGTCAAAGAAACCGTGATAGAATCTTTTTTTTCTTTCTTTCTTCCAGGCAGACAGGAAGGAAGGGGAGGGAACTGAGTACTAAACCCAGGGCCTGGAATTGCAAATGCCAGGCAGGAGCTCCACTGCCAAGCTAAGCCCCAGTCCCACACAGCATCCAAACCGCTTTTAGGACTGTATTTTTTCATACAGACAACATTCCTTGAAAAGCACCTAAAAATTTCTAACTAAAAGCACTGTAGTTTTTAAAAAAGATTTCTAGCTAAAAGCCACAGCCCCTTTAATAATCCAGTGGGTTTCATGTTGTTTTGTTTGGGGGAGTGGATTTTTCTTTACCCCAAACTACAGAAAGCAACTGCTTTTGTGGGCCACAAGTAATCTGCCTAACAAAACAGAACAGACTGGAGGAGACTAGAATACAAAACAGTGCATGCCATCCAGAATTAAACTAAAGCTGCATTTCCTCAGGATTTCATACCCATTATGACTGTATGTTTGTACCTCATCATTCTGTAAGAGGCATTTCCCACTGGAGTTGACAGTCAAGAAAAAACTTTTTGCGAAGTCTCCCTGAATCTTTGCGATTCAACTGAATCAGATACCTAAAAAGCAGCAACACCCGTCCACCCCCCAGCCAGCTTCCTTCACGAGGCAACCAAAGGCAAAACAAAAAAAACCTCCCAGGGAGAAAAATACTATACTTGTATTATTGGTGTCAGCTATCATCATAATTCACTACAGTGAGGAGGGAAGGGGCGTTGCAGGAACAGCTTCCATGGTGGTAACAAAACAAGCCCTGTCCTCTGCTCCTGGAGGCCTGGCCCTAAAAGGTGAGCAGTCCCTTCCCTCTCCAGGGTCAAGAGCCCTGTCCCCCCCTCCTCATCCCCCCCTCCTCCTCCCTCCCCCCAGCAGGCTGTGTCCCCGGGAGATCTCCCCTGCAGGACAATAGACAGTTGTACAGCTCTTGGCTCAGCCCTGGGTCTTCTCCGATGGTGGCAGCAGCTGCTCGGCGGGCCCCTGGGACCCCAGAAGCTGGACCCAGGTCCCCTGGCAGGAGGAGGGGGTCTGGGGGAGCTGGGCGTGGAGGAGGGGAGGAGGCGGGCATGTGCTCGCTCTGTGTGTGGCCCAGAGAAGAACCTTATCTTCGTTCCAGAACCAATTATCACCGGCTACTTTCTCGATCACGGTTCAAACCCAGCCTGGGTCGCCAGAGGGAACGTCTCCAACTCACCAGCCAAAAGGCCAGGGTGGAGCTGCGGCTCAAGGGGGCAGAGTACCGAACCCGAGTGAGGGGGAGGGTGTGGGGGGCACAGAGCTCAGGCCTGAG